GAGGTCGTCAACATACAGCTTAAGAGGGTCGGACACACGCGAGACAACGAGTCCGTGACCGTGAGCATGGCTAGCTTCAGACAGCGAGTCCCCCCCGTACTCCCCGCCACCACCGCCGAGAAGGTGACCACAGTGTGGATAGAGATAACTCCCCGAAGGGCCACTAAACGCTCACTAGTGTAAATAGAGATCAGGAGTTTCAAAAGCTGGGGCGGGAAGCCGTGCTTGGGCGCCTCTCGGCCCACATGAGGTACACGCTGCAATGTTCGACCGCTTTGAGGAGATCCCGAACTCCCGTGCCCGACGTCTCGCCGGGAGGGGCTCCCTCGTATCAACCAGCATTTGCTGCCGCATCGCTTCTTCGGAGCCGCCCTCCGGGGCAGCGAAATCGTTAGTCACGACGAATCGATCGCTCCCAATCGAAAAAGAAGCTTGCGTGGGCTCGCTCGACCAGCCTCGCGCTCGCGGTGAGCAGGCCGATGGGCCTCGTGCCCCCCGACGGTTTGGACGGCAGGCACCGTAAAACACGTGCCGCAGCTGGGGGGGCCAGCGCGCCGTGCGGGAGACGATGGGCCACAAGAGCGGCCAGGAGTTCGAGGCCCCCGTCACTCGGGAACCTCGGCATCGCTGGGACGTGTGCATTTTTTCTCGGCGAGGACCATCGAGGACCATCCTGGACCCTCGAGCAGCAAAAAAAACACGCGCACGAAACCGACAAATGCACAGGAAATGGACGTCCGAGCGACGGCAGGGAACCCCCACCACCTCGGATGCCAGTTGTCCACCCCCAGCTCCCGTGTGCTCGGGGACGGCTCGGCAAAGCTTTCGAATCTCGTCGGGGGTGGGGCGGGCCAGGCCGTGGGGGAATTCCACCCGTTCCCATGGCCAGTCGATCTCGCCGCGGCTCTCGGCGCCGTGGGAGGCCCAGAGGTCGATCCAGTCGAGGGCCGCGGCGTCCACGGCGACCTGGGGGTCGGACATGTCCAGGTTGGTGTGGCCCCTGGCTCCGAGGGTGGGGTGGGCGCTGTGCTTCCACTTGGGCATGCGGTGGATGAGGCCACCGCCCCCCGCAGAGCCATCGCGCAGCCTCTCACGCCACGCCTTGGCCCGCTGGTTCTTCAGGCCCTGCTCGATCTCGAAGGCCTGAGCTGCGGCCCCGCGCTGCAAGGCCATGGCCCGAGAAGCGTCGTCCCGCAGGGCCTCCTCCGTCCACCGCAGGGCCGCGAGGGTCAGGAGCTCCTGCTGGACTGGGCCTGCCTCGCCGTTGCCCAGGGCCGCGCACCAGCGAGCCGCGCCATGGGCGAGGCGCCGCTGCAGCCTGCGAGCCAGCGGCTCGCCGAGGGCGCCCACGGGCCCTGCTGGCGCGCCGCGCCCGCGAGCAGGACCAGCTCCCCTGCTCTGGCCGCCGCCCAGCGCCATCCGCCTGGGGAAGTCGCCGCGGCCGACGAAGTCGTCCGAGGAGGAGGAGGAGGAGGAGGAGGAGGAGGAGGAGGAGGAGGAGGAGGAGGAGGAGGAGGAGGAGGAGGAGGAGGAGTCCCCGACAGGTCGAAGGCGCCCTGCAAATCAGCCTCCGCCACAGCCGAGAAACCGCGCCAGAGGCCCTCCAGCTCGTCATCGCCGTGCTGCGCGTCGGGGTCGAGCCGTGGCCAGTCGGGCGGCTCCCGACGGTAGCCCACAGGCAGCCGCCCGGGGAAGGCCCTCGGCTCGACCAGCCGCCAGCCCGTCATGATGCGCAAGGGCTGGCTGGTCCCCAAGCTGACGGGGCTGTGGGGGTAGGTCGACGCATCCATCGCCTGCGCGCGGCCGAAGGCGTGGGCGATGCGCGTGTCCACCACGAAGAAGTCGATGGTACGGCCCCCGCCCCTGCCCTGGCAAGTGACCGCCTCAGGCGCGAAGACGATGCCCCCGACGTCGCCGCACCGGTCGCCCGCCTGCAACGTGTCAGGCGTGTTGTTGAAGTCCGTCTGCAGGACTCACGGAATGTCGTAGGCCCTGACCAGCTCCCCGATGGCTTCGAGGATAGGGAGGTTACGGATGGTCCACCCCTCGTTGACCCAGAAATAGGCGGTGACCAGCATGAGGCCGCCCTTCAGGAACCCTGCAGTCCAGGCCGCTGCCACGCCCTGGCGAGCCTGGAGGTGAGAAGTCATAGGTCGTGGCCCCGTCCAGGTAGGTGAGGCCCAGGCAGCGGGGCGCCACGAAGCCCACCCCCGCAGTGCGGCCGCCTCCAGGGCCCGTCGCCGAGTCGGTGAGCCCTACCGTGAGGTGTCTGCTGAAGCAAGCTGCACTGACCTCGCCCACGTAGTCGTGCGAGATCTTATGCTCCTGGATGAACAAGGTGGTGTTCCGCCCCAGCGGCGCCTCATCGGTGTAGTCCACGATGGAGGTCCAAGCGTTTCCATTCAGGCCTCGAAGCTGCATGCCAGGCTTGTACCTGGCCCCCTTGCCCCGCGCCGATGACGCCCTAGAGCTCGAAGACGCCCCGCACCCTCCAGGGGAATGCACACCCCTGGCCAAGGGTGCTGTACACGCGGTAGCTGGAGGCTGTGAAGGCGCCTCCGCAGCAGCAGCAGCAGCAGCAGCAGCACGCGACGGAACCGCGGCAGAACGGGCCGAGGCCGACGGCGCCGACCGGGGAGTGGATGTGCATGGGCCGTCACCCACTTCGGCGGCCTCTGCGGGCTGCGAGGGGCGGCCACTGGCGGACGGTGGCGACGAGCTGGCATGATGGGTGCCACGCCTGCTGTCCAAGATCTCCGTCTCGCGCATCATGGCCTCGGCGTGCCGAGCGAGCTCCTCGTCCCACTCGTGAGGGAAGTCCTGCGGAAGAGAGCGAAGCCACCCCCAATGCCGTCGCCGTGCCGCTCGTCGCTGTCGGAACACGCGGAGGCAGATCTCGATCGCCATGTCGACTAAGGCCGTGGCGTGGTCGCCGTGGCCGTCCTTCTCGGCCCGCTCGTCAACCAGGTGCCGAAACACAGGATGAGCGAGATAGTTGGAGACGTACGGCACGCAGTACCTCCTCCAATGCATAGAATCCATCTCGTCGTCTGAGGTGTGCGGGTGCTCTAGCCAGTGGCCTGTGTAGCCTCTCGGCGCCCTCTCCCATCCCCACTTGCGCTGCGGCGCCTCGCGTCGTTCAGGATCCTGGTCCTTGGTCATGGGCTGCGGCCCCAAGTCTGGCGAGGGAGGAGCGGCGTCGCGCTCCCAAGGCGGCAGCAGACTCTGGCGTAGCCGGTGTGCCGCTAGCTGCGCCGCGCCGCGGGGGCCGTCCTCCACCTGGGAGCCCTGCTCGCCGCTGGGGAGGTGGACCGCGTTGCCCTCGACCACGGTGACGACCTTGGAGCGCCTGGCCCGCGAAGCTCCCGAGGCCGATGGTGCCGTCGTAGAAGGAGTCGACGTGGGCGGCCCCGCGGAACGGCGCCCGCGCCCCCGCCGAAGACCGCGGCGAGCAAGACGCTTCGCAGCGAAGCCACCACTGTGCCAGGGGGGGAGCTCCAACCCGAGGGAGGCGCCCGGGCTCTGTGGGGCCTGGGAGGCCTCGGACCTTGGCAGGGGAGCCCCCTGGGGGCCCAGCCGCTCGCTCCAGGATCCTGGCCCTGGCACCGGCGTCCAAGGGAGGCCTTGCCGAAGGCCGTGGGCCCCCCCCCAGCGGCGGAGCCGCTTGCGCCTGACCCAGGAGGGTCCCCAGCGCCACCGCGAGCCTGACCAGGCGCGCCAGGCGTGGGGGGAGGCCCGCCCTTGCCCCGGGTTGGAGCTGCCGCTGCCCCTCCTCCTTTGCCCTTGGCCGCCGCCACCTCCGCGCCGTGCTCCTCGGACGCGGCGGAGCGGGGGCGCTTGGACTTGGGGCGGTCGCGCATCTGCCTGAGGTCCGCGCGCGTGGTTTTGATGGATTCGGCGGCGGGGCCGAAGTGCTTCTGGGCCTCCGACTGCAGCTGGCCGACGAAGGAGGTGACCTGCTGCCCGAACTGCTTCTTCTCCTCCTCAGAGATGTCGAGCCCCTCGAGATCGAACATCGCCCCTGCCTGGACCTCCCAAGACCTCCACCTCCTCGGAGAGCAGCTTGGAGAGGTCGAGGGCCGCCCCCTGCTTGGCCACGGGCGGCTCCGCGGCCTCAGCAGGCGCCGCCGCGATTGGGGCAGCCTTGGCGTAGGCCGCCTCGGCGTCGGCCTCGGCGACCTCGAGGATGGCCTCCTCCTGCTCGCGCCGCTTGCACTCCAGCCAGTCCTCAGCGTCCTTGACCGCCTGGAGGGAGCGCTTGAGGGCCGCCTCGGCGCGCTGCGCCCAGGCCCGCGCCTGGTTGAGCGCCACGTCGGGGTGCTGCTCGGGCGGAGGCGGCACCAGCGTGAGGGCCAGCTGGTCGACCTGGGCGACGGTGGCGCGATCAGCGTCCGCCGGAAGGGTGGCCCGCAGCTGCCGCAAGAGTTCCTCCTGCGTGGGCAGCGCGTCCTCGGCACCCTTGCCACGGGGACGGCTGTGGCCACGCTCGCTGGCTCCGCCTGGGCCCCAGGCCCCCGAAGGCGGGCGCTCCTGCGACCGAGCTGGCTGCAAGGCCCGCCCGCAGCTGCGGCAAGCCGTGTTCTTCCTCCAGTTCCACTTGTAGCCACACGAGCGACACTTGGCGTATTGCTGCTTCTGGCCTCCAGACTGCTCACCCCTGTTTCCATTGTTACCCATGCGCAATGCCGAAGGAGAGAGCCTGCCCCGCCAGGAGCGAACGATGGTGTGGCTCCGCCAGGAGCTCACGAAGCTGGATCGAGACAGCCAGGCCTAGGGAAGGGGCTGCCCTTCCACCTCGGCCTCGAGTCTCTGGAATCGGGACCCACGGGAGGTAAGCTCCGTGAGACTTGAGCCAAAACGGCTTGAGCCAAAATGGCTACGGGGGAGGAGGGAGGAGGAGGGAGGAGGAGGAGGAGGGAGAAGGACGAGCAGGGAGGAGGGAGGAGGATGGAGGGAGGAGAGAGGATCCCTGGCCCCCTCTGCCCCCAGCGCCCCGCGAGGCCGCCCCCGCCCACCACCGCGGCCCCGAGGCGCCTCCCACTGCGGGCTCGCCGCCGCCGCTGGTCGCCCCCGTCCTCCTCCTCCTCCTCCTCCTCCTCCGCCTCATCCTCCTCCTCTTCCTCCTCCTCCTTTTTCCTTCCCCTCCGCCTCTCTCCTCCCCCTCCTCCTCCTCCTCCTCCTCCTTCTCCTCCTCCCTCCTCCTCCTCTCCATCTCCTCCTCCTCCTCCACCTCCTCCCCCTCACTCCCCCTCCTTCTTCTCCTCTCCTCCTCCACCTCCTCGTCCTCCCCCTCGTCCTCCTCCTCCTCCTCCTCCTCCTCCTCCTCCTCCGCCTCCTCCCTCCGCCATCCTCCTCCTCACTTGCATCATCCATCTCATACTCCTCCTCCTCTCCTCCTCCTCCTTCTCCTCCTGCACTCCTCCTCTCCTTCCTCCTCCTCTCCTCCTCCTCCTCCGCCCTCTCATCCTCCAACCTCTCCTCTGCTCCTCATCCTCCTCCTCCTCCTCCTCCTCCTCCACCTCTCCTGCCACCTCCTCCTCCACCTCCTCCTCCTCGTCTCCTTCCTCCCCCCCCACACCTCCTCCTCCTCCTCCTCCTTCTCCTCCTTATCCTTCCCCCCTGTCCTCCTCCTCCTCCGCCTCCTCCTCATCCTCCCCCTCCTTGTTGACGTTGGTCGGACCTGAAGAGCAAGCTTGTGGCGTCTAGAAAATCAGTGCTAGGTCTCAACGAGCAGAGTCGCCGACTGAGGCCTTGACAAACAAATGAATGCAGCCGCCAGTGCGTATGAGGATGTGCGAAGAGCTGCGGTAAAAGCGTGTGGCTCTTGGGGGCTAAGAGTAGCTTGACGATCCGAAGATTCCGCGCGGGCCTCCGAAAGTCTGAGTACTCGTGCCGTTTCTGGCAGTATCCTCTGCCTCATGGGGGGCCCCGCGGCGGCTGCCTGGCGAGCTGACGCCAGAGGTTTCTCTCTCTCTCTCTATCGTGGCGCTCTCGCGTCCCGAGGCCTGTCTTCCGGAGGAGGGGCGCGGAACATGCAGCTGGCACTCGGCGGCGAGTCCCAGGGGGGGAAGTGAGAGGGAAGTCAGGCAGCCCAGAAACGCGCAAGAAGACAGCTGTTGCTTCACAGCGCGGATCCCTGGAGGTCTGGACCCGTCCCCTGACGGCCCCGGGGCCCAGCGAGCGCCTCCAGAGGCTGGACACGGCCCAGAAGCTGCCGTCGTGGTTGTGCCGCGACGGGAGGGTGTCTGGGCTCGAACATATATGTCGGCGGCGCGCCCTGGGGGGGCAGTGGGAGGGGAAAGGCCTTCGCAGAAGGCGGCGGAGCTTCTCAGCAGCCCTCTGGCCGAGAAGCCGGCACGGACAGCTCCGCAGAAGGCCAGGGGCCTTCCGAGCCTGCTGAGAAGGCCCACTCCCTCTGACTTCCCCCCCCGGGCTCGCCGCCGAGGCACCGTGGGCGGGCGGCCCTCGACCTGCACCTTCCGTGCTTTTCACGGGGAAGGTGCCGCCGCTGCGGCCTCGGCGGTGGCCGCCGCTGCGGCCGCAGCGGCGGCCGCGGCATCGCGGCAACTGCCCTGCGTAGAGGTGCGGGAGGCACAGGTCGAGGGGGGGAGTGGCATCAGGTCCGCCTGGCCCCAGCCGACGGGCCCGGTGCAGCCCTGGAGGGTTCAGGGCATCCCGCTGAGGCAGCATCAAGAGAGGAACAACTACCCCGACCGGACAATTGGCGTTTACTAAACGGCCTTGGGCGTTTACTAAACAGCCCTGCCCGATTCCTTCAGTGGGGGCGTTTAGCAAACGGCCTCGCTTGTCGGGGAGCTCACATGGGAGACACCCGTTCGAATCGCTCGACTCGCTGTCGCTGTCGCTGTCGTCCGGAGAGTTGCTGTTAGGAAGCAGAGCCGCGAACTCCTCGGGGGAGTATTCGTCGTATTGCTTTGGCTGCTCCCCTCCATCCTGATTCCCATCGCCCTGCGAGTCCCACGACCACCCGGGACCCCAAGAGTCCTGATCCCAGGCCTGTTCGTAAGAATGGCTTCTTTTCGCTAAGCGAGTTTTCTTGTTGAATCTGCACTCTGACGTCCAATGGTTCCTCACCCTGCACATGTCACACCACTTGTCCGCGTTCTGGCTCCATTCACTTTTGCCTCCACTGCTCGACTGGTCCCTACCGTTGCCTCCAGGGCTCGCTGGGTCTGTGCCTTTTCCTCTCCGCTCGTTCTGGTACAGTCGGGGCCCTGAAGAAGGAACGCTTTTCGTTGGGGAGGGGCTCCGCGTTCCTTAATTGTTTCGCAGCTTGCCTTGGGTTTTCCTTTTGTTTTCGATAGGAAATCGAAGGTTAACTTATGGAAAAAAGGGGCCTCGTTCCTTATTTAGGGTTCCTTAGGTCAACGCCCCCACTGTACCAACCCTGGGCCTGGGTGGAGGAACCCTGTCCTCGCCACGAGGATGACGGGCATCCACGGCCAGGCCCCGCTCCTTGGGGGGAAAATCCCTTCGGCGTGCCCTTGGATGTGCCTTTGGGGAATCCTTTGGTTCGATGCTCGTTTCGGGGACCTTCCTGGGGCCCACCTGATGGATCTGTTCGACTCAGGTTCGACTCAAGTTACACTCAGGCTTGACACAGACTCGACTCAGATTCGACTCAGGTTCGACTCAGGTTCTACTTAGGTTCGACGCAGCTTCGACGCACGAGTGGAGAGAGTGGCTCCAGGAAGGTCCCCAGAATGAGCATCTAACTTTGGGAGAGCCCCTAGTGTCACCTTTCGGGGGTCCTCGCGGAGAACCTTTCGGGGTACCTTTCGGAGAGCCCTTCAAAGCATCTGCTTCCATGGGCTTGGGGCCGTTCTCTGTTCTGCCGTATGTTTTTTTCCAAACGACGTTTCCTTCCGACGTGTTGGTGTATCTCACGTTTGAGGTCTTCGTACATTTCGCATAAATGGCCATTCAATTCAAAATGTGTTTTCATTGGTTCCGGGATCGTCTTCATGACCACGCTAACTATGACATCATTTGCTAGCTCGTCTGGGGAAGCTAGATCATCGCATTCTTTTATGAGCAAGAACCTCTGGGAGGGAGGCGCCCGCGAAACTAAACTCCGTGGCTGCATTCAGAACTCTTCGTTTCGTATTTTTGCCGTCGTGTTCAGATCTGATGGACACCCTACGCCACATCACAAGACCGTTCCCTTCCTCTATCTTCATACATATTTTCGTCATCTCTCCGTACACAACGCTTTTTAGAATGTAGGCAAGGTTCGCATAATGTTGTGTTACATCTTCTTTTGTAGCTGCTAATGTGATTGGGTTCGAATGTTCTCGTGCACGTTCCATGTTCTGCAACATCACTTGACTAACAGCTCCACAATAATATTCGAAACGATAACACCAATCGCCCCACTCACCTTCATCTCCGGCGAAATCTTTGAGACCTCGTCCTAAGAATTTCGGGTCAATCATTGATGCCATTTTCCTT